ATAAGGACAATAATAACTAATTGTGATATTAAATAAAACTTGTAACGAAGTACTGTAATATGAATATTTCCAGATTTTGTTAGTAAATATCGTATATACAATATATCATTAACTAAAAGATTTACTAAATACATTTAAATCGATTTTTTTTTAAATTGGTCATACACAATATCGTATATACAATATATTGTTAATTTAAATTTGTAATTATCAGCAAATCATATATACAATATATAATTCTGTAACAATATATAATATTTTTAATTACAATATTTAATCTATGAAAATGTAGGTCATAATATTTTAAAGATTTGATAAAATATGTAACTTTGTGGAATAAGGAATATTATGTGAATATATTGCAGTTAAAATAAGTTTTTTAAAAAAAAAAATCTAAAAGTTAATACTAATCAAGTAGGTTAGCGATAATTCTGTAAAAATAAGTAAAATAATAACTAATTGTGATATTAAATAAAACTTGTGGAAAAAGTGATATAAATATTTTGGATTTTTTTATTAAATATTGTATATGCAATATATCGTTAACTAAAAAATTTGCTCAATACATTTAAATGGATTTTCTTTTTTAAATTGGTCATATAAAATATCGTATATACCAATATATTGTTAATTTAAATTTGTAATGATCAACCAATCAAACTATAGGTATTTGAGTTATGTACTTAAATCCACTAAAACCCATGAAAACCGACCAAAACAAAAAAAAATACAAATATCTTATTAGGTCCAAATGTCTAAGATCTACTGGATCCAGACCAGTAAGAAACCTATATGTACTTGACCCGAATGCCCTTTCATACACTCTTTAATTATATTTTTACTGTATTTTATAAAAAAATATATTTGTTGAGTCAATAATATTTAAGATTTGGCAGATTTTGGATGATTTAAAATGTTGATTTATAAGGTTTTTAATAGCTTTTAAAATTCTAATAAATAAAAAAGTCTTTGTTATAAGTACTTTTTATAAAAAATAATTAATGTAATATATATAGTTTTATTTTTAACAGATGGTTTGTTAAAATGTTAATATCAAATTTGATTTTGTAAATATTTGAAAGTTGATTTTGTAAATATTTGAAACTATATAATGTAAGATAATGTGATATAATATGTTCTATGCTATATTCTAAGTTATTTTAATAACTGATGTTTAAATATTACAGGTATATTTTTATAAATAAGATTTTATGAAACATTAATATATAGGTCCGTACGACTTACCGGATCATTGGGCCGACCGCTGGTGAACCGCGGGTTAATAAATGAAACTTTATTACATAATAATATATTACCTATGAAAATGAAAATATAGAAATTAAAATTAAATATTTTCTAAATGTTTTTAAAACATAAAATGTATAAATATACAAAATATTAAAAACTAGTTTAGACTATTTAATTTTATAACAAGTTAAGAATAATGATATCTAAAAAATCAAGATATAAAAATCATAAATATTTAAATGTCTAGTGAATAATAAATTAAACTTCAAATCCAAAATAAACCAAAAGTAAAATTTTATTTATTAGTTCAACCAGTGGTTCAACCAGTATCGGATTTTGGGTTTTGATGAGTTTTTGCGAGTTTTTTAAATTTTGGATTTTTAACAAAACCGAACCGGATTTATTTTCGGTCACCGAATTTACCGTTTCAACTGCGGGTCTGATCGGGTTTCAAAACATTGATATATATATATATATTGATAGGTTTGTATATTCAATACATATGATTTTATATATCTATACTATATGCGATATTATATGGATTAAATGAGAATAAATTATGGTTAGAGTAATATATGGTAAGATAGATAATATATGATTTTATATATCTATACTAAAACATATGCGATATTATATGGAGTAAACGAGAATAAATTATGGTTAGAGTTATATGTGGTAAGATATATAATAGGCGAAAGAATAGGTAGACTAAAATATTTATTAGTTAAATGATCATTTTATTATTAATAATAGGTGTAGTAACTTTTTATAAGTGGATTTTTCAAATCTATTATATTAAAAGAGAAGTCATGACTCATTTCATGTGTGATATTTTAGTTTGGACCATCTTTAGAGTTTTATAAAATTTTACATAACATGATAATATCTTTTCATATCTTTAATTTTTGTTTGAAATACAAATAAATAGTTATAAAAAATTTATAACAAAATCTTTTAAAAATCTTTTAGAATCTTTTCAAGATATAGTTTCAAAGAGTATTTGATTATAATTTTAATTATCATAGAATATAATTAAAATTTTAATTCATTTTTTATTTATAAAAAATAAAATTATGTAAAATACTTTTAACAATATCCCAAAATTTTGTTTATGTATTATATAGTTCCAATTTAATTTAAATTTTACATATATTTCAAATTTAGAAATAAAAAATAGTAATGTTACATAATAATGTTTTTAAAAATTGTTTCAAAAATACAAATTTATAAATTTTATATTAATAATATTATAAGTCACATAAAATTATTATAAAATTGGATAGCATACAGAATCAAATTATACTTATTTATTGATAAATTTTATTATATAATTTCAAATATTTTCGTATTAAAATACTCGCACGGTTGTGCGGGTCGAAATCTAGTTCTCTTTTAATAGTATAAATGTACACGTTTGATTGACGTCTCTACTTCCTCAGCTGTCAGAAAAAAACCATTATATTTCTTAGCGGATATATAGTCATTAACTCTATATATCAAGTAGGAATTTAACGTAATAGATTCAATAATTATCAACTAAGATGCATATACACAGAATAACAAATAATTAATTAGTTTGATTAGCTTATGAGAAGGCGACGATAAACGTGAAACAAATTGGGGAGCATAGAATGATTTCAAAGCATGATCGTGTGGTGAAAGTTAATAATTACTTTTGGGGAAATAAAAGACAAGTTAGACATTTCAACAATGAAGACAATCAAAGTATGTGAATAAACTTTTGTTAAAGTTAAACCTGCAATAGGATCAAGGTAGTGGCTTGCAACATAATATGTGTTCATGAGAAGTGTCTAAGTGTTGGTGTTAGGTCAAATTATGCGATTGAGCCTCTTAGCCGCATTGCTTGACTATTCATTCTATATAATCTTTCTTTTAGTCATTCTTGATTCACATCACACCGTTTAGGCGTTCACATACAATCGAATCCTATGTATATCCCTAGGGTTTACTTTTTGGTCCCTTTGCCCTAGCTTTTCTCTTCTAAGTTTGACAAACTGTGCCTTCATTTTAAGTGTATGCGTTACAATTATTGTTTACACAATCATATGTAAAACATAGCAATATGTACTTTTCACAGTTTTTTAGTTTTGAATTTTTTTTTTGTACTAGCATAGATTATCTTTTCTTATATATTTCTTTTTCAGCAAAAAAATGTACATCGCATATATGTGGAACGTTCAAACGGTCAGAAGCTTTTATGATCATATTTCTTCAAAAATCCAAAGTTTTCAAAGTAATGTAAACGACAACTTCAACATTTAAAAGTTTACAAAGATCTATGTATATAGTATAAACATGTTATCTTTGTCTAATTACTATCTCATACTGAATAACTGCTAAATCCAGTTAGAACAGTTTAGTGTATAGTACTTAATAATTGGAATAGTATTATATATAAATTTCAGAAATAAAAGCTGTATGGGTATGATTGAGTCCAAATATTGTATGCTTATGGTTAGTTCCATATATGAATGAAAATCATCTTTAATTAGTGAGAAAAAAGAAAGAAAGAAAAGCTGTAATGGACCCAAGTATCAACACTGGATTTGCTGTAATGAATCAACAATTTATATTCTTGTGTAATGAAATACTCGTACAGTTTTGTTTTTAAAAAGAAAAGAAAATCTTGTCATTGGCTTAACTGTTGGAAACATAAGACTTTTTTATAAATTGTAATAGAGAAACTAGCAAATATCTGATTAGTTAATCAGCACGGAGCAAAACCAAACTTTAAGTCTTTAACTACGACTAACGTTATGGCCGATGATCAAGGTTTGTAACCGATTGTCTTGTACATATTAATTAGTGTTAATGGTCGTGTCAAAATTTGATTTCATGAAATCGTGTGTAAATTTGTGTAAATGACAAAAAGAAGTAAAAAGTAATGAGTGATCTGAGTGGTGTGTAATAAGAAAATCAGGAGAAAACGAAAGGAATTTATTAGTGAAAATACGATTATTTTCTTTCACAAATACATCTATTAACTTTATATAAAGTAACTTAATAAACCAAAATAAAATAAAATAAAATAAATAATACATAACATTAAAAATAAATTCACACAAATATAAAATACATTAAATAAAACTCATAAAATAAAAAAACATTAAACAAACTTAACATAAATTAAAACAAATTATATAAACATTTAAATATTGCATATTTTACAAGTGGTATTTTATATATAACTTTCTAATTTTTTTCTGTGTGTAAGTTATTTTATTATATAGGTAATTTATAATATTTTATCATATAATATTTTAATATTGTGTGTTCTATAATAGTATGTATTTGTGAAGTATTATTCATAACTTTTATTAATATCAAAGACTATAATGCAAATAATATAAATTTTTAAGGATTTTTTGAAATTTTATGATTAGAATAATCAACCTTCAAATCTTCATTTTGAGGTTTTACTTTTTTTTTAAATAAGATCTTGGATTTGACATATTTTTAGAGCATGTCTAGTGGAGATTTTTAATATATATATGATATATACGTAAATAATTATGAAATCTACAATTATTGTGGAACTCCATAAAATAAATAAGGATTCTTATGAATTTTTAAAACCCTCTTTTAAGAATCTTTACTTACAGAATTCTACAAAAATTATGGACTTGACAATTACTTATATATATATAATATATATATACATTATACATATATCAAGAATTTCAATGGGAAGAACTCCAATTGGACATGCTCTTACCAAGTAAAAGAGTTAAATAAATATAATGTTGCCAACAACTATATTCCAGTCTGGCACCCAATTCTACCAAAGTAAATACTGAATGTAACCCATAGGAAAATAATAAGACACGTGGCAATGAGTAAACATTTGGCTGATAAGACCCTCTTCTTTCTTCTTCCTCCTCACTCTCAGCTCAGCAGAAGAAGAAACAAAGCGTGCTTCTTCTCTCATTCCTCTCTCTCTCTCTTCATCATTTTCCTTCACCAGAAACACCAACACTATCATTACCTTCTTCCTCTATAAAAACTCATGGATCCTTGGGATAACAACACTATACAACACCAGTACCGTCGCCGAGACCATCGTAATCCTTCCTTCTCCTCCACTCTCCTCGACCACATCTACCGCTCCACCGACGACTCCTCCGACGTCTCCATGAGGAAGAAACAGAACCGCGCCGACGAGAATCGCGTCCCCCTCGAGAAAATCATCGTTAACCGCCGCAAAACCGCCGACGATTTCGTCAGATCCAGTTACCCCGTTTTCTTCAAACATTCAACCTCCAGCTCCTCCGACTCAAGCGTCTCCTCCTCCTCCTCCGATTCGTTCTACAAACGAACTCGCTCCTCCCGCTCCCCGCCGGAGATGATTCACCATCCTAAACCGATTCGAACCACCACCACCACCGTCGAGAGACCTAACATCAACAACAAAGCGAAGTCTAAGGCCTTGAAGATGTATAGCGATTTGAAGAAAGTGAAACAACCGATCTCTCCAGGTGGACGTCTCGCCACTTTCATTAACTCTCTCTTCAACGGAGGAAACGCGAAGAAACCTAATAATAGTAATAAAACCGTCTCCACCGCCACGTCATCAACCACTTGCTCTTCCGCGTCTTCCTTCTCCAGATCCTGCTTGAGCAAAACGACGTCGTCTAGTGAAAAGTCCAAGAGGTCCGTTCGTTTCTGTCCCGTCAACGTCATCCTCGACGAAAACTCCACTCGTCATCATCGAAGCTTGGATACTCTTGAGAGTCGAGTTATGGAGGAGAATCGTCGCGTCATTGAAGCAGCTAAGGAACTTATTAGAACTTACCGGAAGAACAAAGACGTCGTCGACATCTCCGGCGAAGGAGAAGATGATGATGATGATGGTGCGAGTTGCGCGAGCTCTGATCTGTTCGAGTTGGATAATCTATCGTCGATTGGAATCGAAAGGTATCGAGAGGAGCTTCCCGTCTACGAAACAACTCGTTTGAACACGAAGCGTATCATCTCCAGATGAATTTGATTGTTTAGTTTCTAATATAATAATTAGTACTGTACTTGGTTTGGGGGTGGATTAATTATATTTGGATTTAATACAGTTTTCTGAGTGAGGTTAATTATATATATAAATGTAGTTGTTTCCACAATATGAGTGTATACTTGTGTTTTTTTGTGTTTACTAGCTAGTACGTAGCTTGATCAGCTCATAGTGTTTATGATTTTGATTGATTAGTGATTTATTAGCCAGAACTTCGATATCAAGAGGTGCCTGAGATGAGGATCATAGATCTTTGGAAATGAGTTGAAAAACAGGATGAAAACATGAAAAATAGGAAAGACATATTTTCTACCATTTGTCAATAATTTAGATAGCAAAATAAATAGAGGTCGATTTTTTTATTTACTGTCACTTGTTGGAATCCTCTCATAAAAATAAAATATATTTTGACAATATTATGTTTCCATCATTGATTTCTTATTTCCACATTTTGGAGCAAATAACTATAACTAAATTCATATGGTTTAATTTATTGAATTAACAACCAATCAATTATGGAGTCTTTAAATATGTGTCTAACGCCATATAAATAAGATGCAGTTTTCTTACTAGCTAGCAAAACTTTTGATGGTTTTAACTTCTATGATGTAACCAGTAATAATATACTGTAAGCTGGAGTAGTATAATTAGTTATTTAATGGAAAATTGTCAGAAATAACACTTTTAAGATACCACTTTTCAACTTTACACTAACCAACTTTACGATTAAAATTTTAATACTCAAAATACTATTAGAATTTAGGGTTTTGGGTTTAGGATTGATAGTTTAGGGTTTAGTGTTGATTTTTAGGGTTTAGGATTTACTTTTTAGGGTTTAGAGTTTAGGGTTTAAGGTTTAGAATTGATATTTTAGGGTTTAGGGTTGATTTTTAGGGTTTAGGGTTTAATTTTTAGGGTCTAGAGTTTAGAATTGATATTTAAGGGTTTATGGTTAATATTTTATTTAATATTTATTTTATGTATATATATAAAAAACAAGGATATAAGAGTCTTTTATCCTTTAATAAAATGTGTATTTTTGAAAATCTTCATTTGTTGATGGTAAACATGAAAAGTGGTACCACCAAAGTGGTATAATTGAAATTCTCTCATATTTAATATTTAAAACCATATCAGTTTAAATTTCACTAACCAGTAATCGGACTTCCACATCTCCCCCAAAATGGAATTCAGTTTCCAATGCTTCTGTTGCTAAGATTGCTTTCGTGAAGACTCCTTTATGTATTTAAAATAAATTAATGAGAAAAGTAAGTATTTGAGTTGATTTTACTGAATATTAATCATGATAAACAAGATAGGGGACAAGAGTGACAGAGACATGGTCTCAAATGTCATGGACAAGAGTATCCAATAATTTGATTCTCTTTTACCAAAATTTGTTACCTAAATTGACTTGTTTTTGTCCGAAGTGCGACTTTAATGAAGATTACAATTATATTATACACATGTAATTGTCGTATATATTTATAAGTTACACCCCTTTCCATAGTATTCAAAAACTAACCTACCATGCATGTTAAAAATTCAACAAATGATTCTTGTACTATGAATCTTATAGCAATATTTCTAACCACGCCGAATATGAATTATCGTACATGTAAAGAAATAAATAAGGTTTAGCTTAATCATAGCCTAATGATACGATACACTAATAAAGCACTTAAGTATTCTTAATTTAATAGTACTTTCTTATAGTATAAAATATAAAATATAAAACAAGTAAGAAGAGAAAAAAGGATAATATGTAGCCATCAATATTTTACCTATAATTACTAGTAGGAACACATTTTTGAAAATAATAACTAAAAATAAATAATCAGTTGTAATTCAGTTTTAATTTCCACAATACACAACATGCTCCTTTAAGTTATGCAGGCTAACATAATTAGATTGACATCACTCAACATACCAATCCAGTGACATAATTACAACGTTACCGCAATTAGTTTTATTTGGTATAATTTAGATTTTTGGTCATTTACATTCATGTGTATCTAATTGTGGTATACATGAAAATCCCCGCTTATGCGTACCATATTAAACAGAACTAGATTATAACCCGCCCGACTGGGCGGGTCTTTATTTTTATGGTATATATAAACATTTCAAAAAATACAATCTAATGGTTCCAATTTTACTAAGTAATAGTATACTGTTTAAATATTGTATTTCATCATTGTATTGTGTAACAGGGGCGTCGGTATAATATTGTGATCCGTTAATATTTTAGTAATAGTTTATAAGGTTTTTTTTTGCTAAATTTTGTACAAAGTTATATACACGAAACAATTTAGTCAAATTTTTAAGTTAATTTTTCAATGAAGAATTAGAAAGCAAGTATATCACTGTTAAAAACTTATAATAATAGTCAATATAAATTATATAAATAAAATCTATATTATTTTTCATTTATTCTAAATAAATTTAAAACACGAGTATATATATGTAAAAATAATTTTCAGAAATAAAGTAATATTAATGATAGAAAACCCAAAATCAATAATAATGATACTTTGGGCCACATTAATCTTTAGTTTAATAAATAAAGTCCATTAGGTTTGTAGGCTATCATTGTTTCCAATCACCATAATTTTAAATATTTCCTATTCATGTTTCCAAACACTTAATTTTTTGTACTTCAGCTTTAAGAGTATAGATATGTGATTTGCTCAATACAATTAGAGCGCTAAGACTCTGAACAATATAATATGTCAAAAATATAATCAAAATGAAGTCTGTATGTCTTTCTACAGTTTGCAGATGGACCGTTATAAGCAAGAAGATGGTGAACATAACAATCAATAAAAGCAGTTGGACAGCAACATATCATACATAAAACTACACCACCAGTTTACGTACATTTAATAATAGAGGACTCTAGGGGCAAACCATGTCCCATAACAACCATGCATGCACGACACGACTCGTCATTCTCATGCACTTACTATGCCTTAACTCATCGGAAATTCGGAATGCAGGCGATGATTGGTGTACCTCTTGCCGATTTGTTCAGACTTATAAAAAAACAATATCGGGGATTTAAATTCTGCATAATTTTAGCAGTTTGTTTGGATAGATCATACTGATAAACCCTGTTACATTTGTACATATTAGACAATTAGGGTAAAAAATAACATTTTTAGCAATACATAGTTACCAGTTCTGTTTTTGGATTATCAAGAAGTTATGGACTCATGATAATCCATAACTTGCTACAAGATAGATCCATAGAAAACACTATTACAAGTATACTAGGTGTTTTCCTACACCATCTGCAGCCATAAATTTTTTAAATTGAAATTTATTTAAATATAAAATTGTTTTTTAGATTTTATTATTTTCATTATACAAATATTGTCATGTAAATATAGTTTAGTTAATTATAAATATAGTTTTTGTTAATCATAAAATTAATAATTTGTTTTATTTAAGATTATATTTAAGAATAGATATGTATATAGTTGTTGACGAAAAAGATATGTATATATTTAAAATTATAATTGTTTGGGCTAGTACAATTTTTTATTTATTTAAAATTATAATTTTATTTATTTAAAATTGATGATGTTTTTATAATTATCAAAATATAAAACTAAACCAATTTCTAACATTTTTAGATATCAAAAGGAAACAAATGATATCACCATAAAAACTATAATTTAAAAAAACATTGTCTAAAATGTTTAAAATCTTGTTACATAAAAAAGGATTATAAAGATTTACTTAAGTAATATTTCAAATTTGTAAATATTTTATATATTTAATATTATATTATTTGATGACATATTTGAATATATTTATTTTAATGATTATGTATACCATATTCTAAGAAACTTATCAAAAATATAAATTAAACATTAAATGTACTTGTTCATGTCACATTTAATAATAAGTTATGTTATTTTTTCTATTATGCCATGTCACTTTTTTTTTGTGAAAGTGATTATAAAAATTACATGAGTCAAAATCACTTTACAAATAATATATAAGAGATTGTAATATTAGAAACAATGAAGAAACGTTTTTAGTTTGAATCAATTTAACCTTCTTTCCAAAAAGTTATAATTTTCAAAAAAAAAAGAAGTTATGGACTCTTGTAAGTCTAAAATTACGATATATACTAGTCAATTTTGTTACAAGCGTCACTGATTTTAGCACCCTTAGACTTTGCAACAAGTTCTCAATAATTAGCATGTTTGAGTTAGGATGGTGCCACAACCATAACAGTAAGTCATCCTACATATATCAACACACTCATACGAGGAATGCTACAATGCCACATATCTTGGTTGTAATTTATTTCTCATACAGTTTCGACAGATGAGGTAGAATAATTTTGGAAAAAATCTTTATCATACCAATAGAAATCTTTATTATACCAATAGAGTTGAAACACTAAACAAACAATATTAATGTTGCATAAAACACGGAAAATAACTTATATGTGTAACGTTTCTGTCACGCTATTTTCAATTTCAATTACAACAAAATTGCGTCTTAAAATGTATGGTCTGTATGTATTCCGATTTACAAACATAACATCTGATATAGCGATGGTTTCTGAATGAACAAAAACATGATATTTCTGGAGAAAACAAAATGAAAGAGACAGAGTGAGTTTTCAGTTTAAGAGGGCAACGTGGATAGGCAGCTACGTATATAGACGAAGACAAGTGGATATGACTTTTTCCCGAACGTGACGGGGGCCTCTTATGTCTTATGGTTGTCGCGCGTGCACACGTGTGAACCCTTCTTTTCCCATCCCTATAATAATTTTCCTTCTTCACGTCACCTGTGCGCCCCAGTTATAGATAGGCTGGGAATTTCTGGAAAAGGTGATTACAAATGTGCTACATAATTTGTGAGACATAATATAACAATTAATTCTTGAGATAATATTTCTGTTAATTTTTCTTGCAAAATTTAGGATAAGAAATTAAATTTCAAAATTCCGAAAATTTTAAACAAACATTAATTCAAAAATAATCTTTTTTTTTCCAACTAATTTGATACTAGAGAAATCTACTTTATAGTCATTAAAAAAACACAAATACACTATTTAATCAAAAACATAATCTTTTCGTATGGTGCGAGGAGTACCATCAACAATAGATTTCATGGAAAACTTAAAATAATATAGTTATACGTGATTCCGCATAAGGCGGGTAGAATTGTCAGCCATAATATCGTTTATGTAATATTTCTCATGTTTATAATAATTAACCAGTGTTAAAAAAATCAATCTCCTTATTTCTCTTTCTATCTCTCTTTTTGACTAAAAATCTAATTATTATTATTTTTTGGTTATTTGGTAAATATTATATTTATGTTAATAAAATACTATCTTAAAATAAAGATTATTTTGGATTTTGACCTTTATTTTATGTTTCAAAGATTTTTTTTTTTCCGTTTTTATAAACTCTAAAGTATTTATTCGATATAATTCATATTTTTTTTCTATTGTGCTTAAAATAATTTTGATGATTTCTTACTTACTTTTATCTTTTACTCATCTCATATATAAAGACATATTGGGAATAAATAAATAATATAAACAAAGCCAAAATAAATATTGAAAAGACATATAATTGAGTTGTTACTCGTCACCGTAAGTATTTAAGATATGAAATGAATGAAATCAAATAGTATGATTTTTGGCTTGTTTCAACAGTCTGAAGTCAACATCTATATTATTTAAGTTGAAGTACAAAAAGTTAAGTGTTTGGAAACATGAATAGGAAATATTTAAAATTATGGTGATTGGAAACAATGATAGTTTACAAACCTAATGGGTTTTATTTATTAAACTAAAGATTAATATGGCCCAAAGTATCATTATTATTGATTTTGGGTTTTTTTATCATTAATATTATTTTATTTCTTGAAAATTATTTTTACATATATATACTCGTGTTTTAAATTTATTTAGAATAAATCAAGAATAATATATATTTTATTTATATAATTTATATTGACTATTGTTATAAGTTTTTAACAGTAATATACTTGCTTTCTAATTCTTCATTGAAAAATTAACTTAAAAATTTGACTAAATTGTTTCGTGTATATAACTTTGTACCAAATTTAGCAAAAAAAAATCTTATAAACTATTACTAAAATATTAACGGGTCACAATATTATACCGACGCCCCTGTTGCACAATACAATAATGAAATACAATATTTAAACAGTATACTATTACTTAGTAAAATTGGAACCATTAGATTGTACTTTTTGAAATGTTTATATATACCATAAAAATAAAGACCCGTCCAATCGGACGGGTTATGATCTAGTTTATATTATATCGATGTAAACGCCATGTTTGAAAAAACCAAAAAAAAAACTTGCTTTAATAATTGCGATAACTATTAATAGAATGCTGTTTGATATTTTGTAAAAGAAAAAGGGGCAAATGTGAAATATGCTAAACCCGAAAAAGACAAAGTAAAAAGAAGAATGTTTTGTTGGATGCCCAAGACGATGATCGTCACTTACTCGCAGCTTTTGTCTGAAAGATGATACGGCGTCGTATCAAAACCACTTCGTTTCACATTCCCCTCATCTTTTTGTTCATATATACAGTAGAAAGATTCTTACATTTTGGTAAAAGAAAGATTCTTACATTAATCCCAATATTTCTTCAAAAGATTAAAGTTTCCCAAGTCTAAAAGTTATGAGATAAATTAGTGCCAGTAATAGTATGTATATTTAGTAGGGTTCTTGTTCCGCGTATGAAATAAAACAAAATGTCCTCTAATTCAGTTTGGTGCTGCATTTACAAGGATTCAGAGAAAACATTAGCTTAAATCAACCATATGGATCAACTTTTTGGATAATTTTTTTTTTATCAACACTTTTTGGATAAATTAGGACACAAATAATAGTTGTTGTTTGTTGGTCGATCAGTCCAAATTCATCTTTTTGATAAATCAGTCCAAATTGATCTTTTTGATAAATCAGTCCAAATTCATCTTTTATCTGTTTGATTAATATTAAATTTGTCCTTTCTCATATGCCACAAATAAAATGGAGACAAAGAAAATGATGTTTTAAGTACATACAAATTTATTTTATCAATTATCCTTTAAAATATTAGTTATGGTCAAAGATAATTTAATCGACATCAAATCCATAGAATAAGAGTCACAATAATCGAGTTTTTAACATAAACTATTACACAAAATTCGTCATTTTAAAATCTTTGTGTGTTTATATAAACTAATCATACCATATTACTAACTAAATCCAATATTTATTTCTTAGAAATATGTAAAATAATTGTTTTGTAACTTAAAATAGGTAATGTAGTTATGTTTATCATATGACAATATTAAAACACTTAAAAAAGGGGAAATTCCAAAATGGCACTAATTAAAGTTTAAAACATTAGTTTGTTACATTTGAGTTTGAGTTTAGTGATTAGTGTTTAACGTTTAGTATTTAACAGGTATATTATAGTAAATCTTGGAGTTTAGACTAATTTAGTTATTCTATTCTTTAACTAATGTTTTTTTATTATGTGCTTTTTTTTTGAACAATTATTATGTGCTATTTTTATCATAATCTTTGTTATAAAGTGACGGGGATAAAGTATGTTACAAAAAAAAGTGATGAGGATAAGCTGATCTTGATCTTGAAGTGTAAAACAAATAATTTATGCAATTTGGACTTTAATACCAAATTAGTGAGGTGGTTTAAAATCGGGTCAGGTCTACTAACCGAACATCGGTTCAATGTTTGCGTATACAGTTTAAATAGATTTTCAATTCGTTTAAAAGCCCAATTAAAACCCGGGCTTTAAAAGCCCAATATATAATCGTCAATTTGAAGACGCTAACAAAAGAGTAAAACGTCTTCTTCCTTCTTCAGCTATCTCTCTTCTCCGAATCATCGTCAATGGCGACAGAGTCCCCGACCTCTGTTCGTAAAGGTGAGTCTTTTATTCATCTATCAAAATTCAAACGATCGAAATCATCTATGCACCGATTCAATTTCGTTTATTTCAGTTTTTTTTCTTGGATGATTTTCATTTATGATATCGATTTTGATAATTTCTAGGGTTTGTGTGTTTGCATGACAGTTGTTGTTCATCTAAGAGCTACTGGAGGCGCTCCTATACTCAAACAATCTAAATTCAAGGTCTTTACTCGTTTCACCTTGGCACGCAATTTAGAGATTTTAGGTTTGATCTGTTCTTCCAGAAAAAGCGATGAACTTTCTTGATTGATAAGTTTTGTTTTCGTGTAAACAGATTCCAGGAACTGATAAATTTGCTAAAGTGATTGACTTTTTAAGAAGACAGCTTCATTCTGACTCATTGGTATGTGTATTTGATCCTTCAACAGTCATGCTTTTGGAGTTTTATTTGTAACAAAGTCATGACGTTTTCTTTGTTTGTTAAGTTTGTCTATGTGAACAGTGCTTTCTCTCCAAACCCTGATGAATCAGTAAACGATCTTTACAATGTAAGTGTTTTTATACGTTGCACTCTTTTGTGTCATTGTGTATCAAGAATCTCTGTTTATATTGCTTATGTTGTGCTGGTTTTGGTATTCTCAGAACTTTGGCATTGATGGTAAACTGGTGGTTAACTATGCTTTTTCAATGGCATGGGGGTAAAGCCGAATACTACTACTAGTGTTCTCAGGCCGTGTAAGCACATTCTTCTGTTTTCTCTTTGAACTTTAACTTGGCATTCAAAGTTCACATCTATATATAACTGATGACTGCAGTGTATATAAGCAGTACCACTAATGTATTGGGTTTTGTCGTTTCAGGGTCGTCCTAGATGCTCTCGCTTTCTTGGAAAGATGACTTTCAGATGGAATTTGCTGTGTACATAATCTATCATTTGTGATTTCATCCTAAATATTACATGTACATAAAGACCTTATCAAACTTCACAATACTCTAATGTCTGTATTTTTTATTGGGGTCGCTTTTGGCATTCAGAATCAGGAAATAGATGGAGTATAATGCAATGAACTAGACATTGATAACCAAACGTTTTGTTAACACAAGTAGATAACCAAAATAATGAGAATGGTTAAGTTTCTTGGAACGCAAAAAAAAATTGGACGGTGGGACTAACCCCGAAAAATGGCCCAGGATCCGTTTATTTTTAAATGGTATTCAGAGGTAGTTTAAAGAAATAAAATCAGGGTAAAGTTTTCTCTTATGGAATTTAAAAGGCTAGACCAGACAAAAATCTATAGCATTCAAGAATTATAATGTTTGTTTACTCCATAAACTAAGAGAGAATTAACAAAATATCCATATTTAAAGTTTATATTAGAGAGTTACCATCCGACAGATGAGACAAATCACACAATGTCGTCCAAGAATAGACAAAAATGTCCTTAACCACCTCACACTCTCTTCCCTCTTTTTTCTCTTTTGACATTTTTTTTTTGCTTTCCTTCCACATTCACTTTCCTGTATACGGATAAATCCACCATAAAAATTGTTGTTATTTCTGCATTTTTCATCTCTCATCTCTTTTCCCAACCATTATTCATTTTTCTCTTATCATTTTTTGAATATATTCTTTATATTTTTGAACAATTTTTTCCTCATCTTAATTTCAAAATGATCTTCATTAAATAAAAAATAAATTTCCACATTCATTCTAAATTCATGTCAATTATATGGGAATTCATATCCATATGAGAGATACTCTCTGGAGAATCGACTCGTCTGACCACCACTTGATCTAGCTTAAATGGATGACAGACAAAATATATATATATGGGAAGTCATATCTTCAGCATATCTTCCGCGTAAAAGAGTAAATCTAAGGTAATATATTTATGAAAAATGAAAAATCTGATAAATACTTTTTTGGGGTTTATGATGAATTACATTATTGCCAATCGATGATTTGGCCACCAAATATGTTATAAAATATGCTAACGAGTTAAGATTTTGTAATATGTTACAAATTTTGTTAACATTTAATATTAGTTGGTACATGTATTTGTTAACAGCTAACACCTATGTTAACATCTACAAAATATTTGTTAACATGTAACACTTCTGTTAACACCTCTGGTATATGTTTTTGTTAACAGTTAACACTTCTGTTAACATCTACATTTTTTGTTAACATCTAACGCCATTGTTAACTTCAGAGCTAACAATCGATAATAATGATTATTCCGACGATTTTAAAGATATCCCAATGTTGATTTTCTCAATATGTGGTGTAATAAAAATAATTAGATTCATAGGAATAGTAGTAAAGTAGTAATAGGTTTTCTTTGCAAGAATAATTTTATACACATAAAATAGAGTGCATTAAAATGATTTCTTATACTAAAAATTAGAAACAAAAATATAATAAAGGAGAAGAGAATATATCAGTTGATACAAGAGGCTGTAGAGTGGCTGACACAGCTAGGAGTGATTGTAGAGTAGCTGACATAGCTACACAGAGAAACGGTAGGGTTAAAATCGTCTTAGAAATAAATCAGTCAAATCATGAATAGTTGGCTAATTAAGATACTGATTTTGGGCATAACAATTAACTATCTCATAAATTAATGAACATAACAAGATCGGCTAAAAGTAGTTCATTATAATATTTATTATTTATGAAAGATAAAAATGTGTATAATCACAAATGAGCTGAAGTTATTCATCTTTATCACTTTCTTCTCATCTTATATATTAAAACAAAAGTCATGACTTTGATTCATTTGTAATTTTTTTTTTAATTTGACATATTTTTACTATATGCATTTTATTAAATCTATTAATAAAATGTGTAACTACTTTAATTCTAATATCTTTTTATTTAAAAATATACATATATATATATTCAAAATTACAAAATATCTGTTAAAAACAATTTAACAAGATCTTAACTTTTAAAAAATTATGTAAATATTTCACTAATCTTGAATTAGTAAAGAATATAATTATAAATTAATACATATATTTAGTTATCTTTTATAAAATAAAAATAAAAATTCTATCCATTTTGTCTATCTTTTATAAAATCATAATGTATCATATTAAAAAAATATTATAGTAAAACCGTATTAAATATGTTTATGAAAAATGAAAAATCTGATAAATACGGTTTTACTATAATATTTTTTTTAATATGATACATTATGATTTCATAAAAGATAGACAAAATGGATAGAATTTTTATTAATCTTTGAATTAAAAAAAATATTATAGTAAAACCGTATTAAATAGATAAATAATCTATTTTATTTTATAAATAGAAAATATTAACGTTACAAATATAACATGCTGGCAGGACATGTTAAAATTAGTAATTATATAATACATGTATAAAATTAAAATATAAAGTTTAATATATACAATACTATATTATCTAAATAAACATAAAAATTTGCTAATTTAGTATAAATTAAATATAAAATAATTTTTAAACATGATTGTTCTATTCTTATATTAGTTTATTTAATAATCAAATGCAAAGCCAAGAAGATAAATATATAATAAGAAACGATTGAAACGATTTTTATTAAATTGTGAATTATAAAATTATTGTGTTTGTTATAATTTTATAAATATTTTATATAAGTAATGTCATTAATCATGAAAAATAAAATTTATGTATATAAAAATAAAAATAAAATCCGTGAGGTTACACGGGTCAAACTGAATGACATTAATATGTATTTGTGTTATTGATTTCTGTGTTTCATATGTTATGCTCCCCTAAGGTTTGAATGTTGACGTGAGTTAATTATCTCAAATATCAGCATTAATTAAGTTATTAAATTTGGAATGTTACCTTGGTTTGAATGTTGTTATTTAAAGTTGCTTAAGATGTTTTTTTTTTGAGATTTTACAGCAAGATAAGATGTGATTTGTGAATTAATTATCCATTCAATGCACGTTAGTGAGGTGGTGTAAAAGTCTAGAGTTTAACAGTAAGTTTGGTGTGATTTTAGTTAACTGGCACGGTTGCGTCAGTTCAAAGGATGATCAACAGAAGTTGCATAACATGTTAACAAGATAATCTAATTATATAAAGGAGTGTTTCACTCTTTTTAAGTCCATCCACATTATCGCCATGTTATAAAATCTATGTCACCTGATATGTTATTAAGTCGAATTCTATGCTCGCGACATGTGTCCCACTTCTTCCAAAACACAACATTTCATTTATTCTGATATCTCAGTTATTTAGACTTTTTCGTTACACAGTAATCAGACGGTATACAAACCGATAACTCAATAAAGTGGATGCCAATCATGTTGATGCGAAGAAAAGAAATTCTAGAGTTCATCTTTCTTCTTCTGTACCTAGAGTTTTTTGAATAATAGTTATATATTTAAATATAATAATTAATTTAATGTATAATATTCAAAATATCTAAAATAATCAAAAAAAACTTGGAACAGTCTAAAATATTTGAAAGTATCTAAAATAGTCAAAAATAAATATTTGAAATAATTAAAAAATTCAAAACACTAAGATATTTAGTGGTTTCCACTCAAATACTCAAACTAACCAATTTCATGATAATTTTATGTATTTAGTTATATATTAATATAACATACACATGTATAACTTTTGTTTTGGAATTTGAAGATCTTATAATATATTTTGATTTCAATAAAATAACATAATTTAAATGGGTAGACATAAACTGAATGCGACAGATATTTGATGTCCACCCATTCATTACACTAAATTAACTTGTATCAGAACAATAATTCTAAATTCCTTAACTTCTCTTGAAAATAAATTAACAAACATTCTTATATTCCCGATCACTAAGATATCTCAAACAAAATTATAATTCTACAAAATAAATAAGAACTATTGTTAAGAATATGAAAAACAGTTATTGACAGAATAATTATATAAAGAATAAAAACAGTTGTAAACAATTATGAAAATAATTGCAGAATATAAAATAATTCTAAAACACCTCTAGCTTAATAAACAATTTAGTAAACATGGAATACAAATGGATATACAAGACTTATTATTAACACTAAAAGCCTTGATAATAATTATATAAATGATTTAAAAAAAAATATTTTAGATAAGATAAAGTTATTCTTGAATTGTACACAAAATTTATTTATAGAATCCAGAATATTAATCTTTTAAGTTAAAGAATTAGAATATTATCTTCAAATCAAACTTTCAGAAAACCGGTTAAATTTAATAAGATTATTAAAATTTTAAAAATAAACTAATCTATATCTTTTACGCACCAACATTCTTAAAAACCTTAAATACTATAATACATTTCTCTTGCAAAAGTTCATAGAACAAATCAAAAATAAAATACAAATTTATAGTTTTGACATCATATATAACTCATATTCCGCGCGTAACGCGGACCAGCCTTAGTATAACATAAACTAAAGACTAAGTTCAAAATGAACACTTTTAAGAGATTACAAATTATTTTCAGTATTTATATGCCAGATAAATAAATATTCAGAAATTGCGAGGTATTATTTCAACACTTTAAAAGAGTTTTATGTTTTTTATTCATTTTTCCTTTAAAATTTCCATAATGATAATCCCACCAAAGTTTTTTTTTTTTGAGCAACTCCCACCAAAGTCATAACTATTGTTTAGTACAACAACAAAGATATTTAGAACCATCTGGACTGGCCATGCATAAACCAAGAGTTCCACGTGGGAACTCAGGCGGTCCACATCGACTCTTACATTCGTAGCTGAACTGGCACGAGCCTCTGTAGATACATTCGTCTCCATATCCGATTTGTTTTGTGTTCAATGCTATCAATTTCCAAATAGAAACAACCAATATACATATTAGTAAGCCTTTTTTACAAAAAAATAAATATACATATTAGTATTACTTTTTAATAAGTTTTCTGTTACACGAAATCGCATAATTTTTTATAGACAATTTTTGCCATTTTTCTTGATGTTTTCTCTATTGAAACAAAACTTGTATTGGAAACGTGTGCAGCAAATATTCAAGAGAAAAATGGAATTGAACTGAAAAATAAG